GGAGAGGCGGTAGGGGCAGGTGAGGGCGTGGTGGCAGGGGCAGGTGAGGGCGTGGTGAGACATCGATCGATGGTGCTGGCAGCTACAAACACGTACAACAAGGACACCACAACCATCATCACGCACCACAACCACTATCACCACCACGCACCACAACCACCACCACCACGCACCACAACCACCACCACCACGCACCACAACCACTATCACCACCACCACGCACCACAACCACTATCACCACCACAACCACTATCACCACCACCACGCACCACAACCACCACCACCACGCACCACAACCACCACCACCACGCACCACCACCACGCACCACCACGCACCACAACCACTATCACCACCACAACCACGCACCACAACCACCACCACGCACCACAACCACCACCACGCACCACAACCACCACGTACCACAACCACTATCACCACCACCACGCACCACAACCACTATCACCACCACCACGCACCACAACCACTATCACCACGCACCACAACCACTATCACCACCACCACAACCACTATCACCACCACCACGCACCACAACCACCACCACCACGTACCACAACCACTATCACCACGCACCACAACCACTATCACCACCACCACAACCACTATCACCACCACCACAACCACTATCACCACCACCACGCACCACAACCACCACCACCACAACCACCACCACGCACCACAACCACTATCACCACCACCAGCTACACTTCCACCACGGTTTACAATACACCAACAATAGTGGTATTACTATTACGACTATCGCAGTCAACACGGGACATAACGCAAACCAGAACAAACACGCTATTTACACCCCCCTACACACACTACCTTCAACACCACACTCTACAAAAGGTATACCAGCATCAAGGTATACCAGCATCAAGGTATACCAGCATCAAGGTACACCAGCATCAAGGTACACCAGCATCAAGGTACACCAGCATCAAGGTACACCAGCATCAAGGTACACCAGCATCAAGGTACACCAGCATCACTCAAGACAGGATACCAGGTGGTAATGACTAAGGAGATGACGGCTACAAGAATTAGTCTTCGTATAGAAAACGGAAAATGTAAACAATTACAATCCGGACAAAACTGATGACAGTAAAACATGACTCAAGAAATCGTAATGACACGATTGCAAATAAACCATACCCCCGGCCGGGATTAAACCCGCGGTCATAGACGGGCTGGAGTTTTGAGACTATGACCGCGGGTTCAATCCCGGCCGGGGGTATGGTTTGTTTGCAATCGTGTCATTACGATTTCTTGAGTCATGTTGACGGCAGTGAAGGGACTTGAGCTAGAGTTCGTCACGGCCACGCTAGCTGGAGATTCGTCTGTAAAAACTTGCATTTGTGGTCACAGAGGTGCCTGTGCTAACCTTCCTATGGTGTAGAAATATACCTAGTTGGATGAATCTTATTGTGGCTAGCTGGTCTAGTGGCTAACGCGACGGGCTGGAGTTTTGAGACTATGACCGCGGGTTCAATCCCGGCCGGGGGTATGGTTTATTTGATGACAGTAAATATAAGTGTGTAGAAAGGGAAATAAACTGAAGAACAAAGAATTAAAGGAAATAAATAAGGCGATATATTTAGTGAATGTTAGTTTGGTGGAATATGAGAGACTATACGACAGGAAGAACAGGCCGCTAAGAATATTTGCAAATATGAAACAAAAATTGCTAGAAGTGAGCAACTAAGAGAGTGAAGGTTCTAAGCACATACAAACTAGACAAGAAAAGCAGGACAGGGTGATATTAGATTTAGATTTTGCCATCTTAGTGGCTAGTAATAAAGTTGGTAGAATTACCGACAATATGTAAAGTAAAAGGACACAAGTGCAACTAATGTGACATTTATTGTGGCAACGTTTCGCTCTCCAGCTAACACCAGAGTCGCCATCGCTTCTAGCACTTCAATAAAGGATCTAACCAGGACAAAACCCAAGCACCACGAACCAGTCAATGCAGGAGTTTACACTATACCCTGTGGAGGCTGTGACAAGATCTACGTAGGTGAAACAGCAAGAAACCTCGACACCCGCCTCAATGAACACATTTACGCATGTAGGAACGACAACTTAAACAACGCCTGTGTACAACACCGAAATTCCACCAATCATCTCATGAAATTCAGAGACGCCCAATTAGTGATCAAAGAAACTAATTTCCGCAGACGCAAGTGCCTTGAATCAGCACTGATCGCTGTTTCGAATACAATTAAACAAAACAACGGCAGCTTCACCATCTCCGAAGTCTTAGCAAGAATCCTCCTGAAAACAGTAAACCCTGCCATCACATAGTCTCTCCTGTTATACTACACAAGCACATTACAGAGAGTGAACACCGAAAAAAACCTGCCTCTTTCCAGTCTATATTTGTCCAACCTATTTTTTTTTATTTTACCCAAGTAATAGCTTTTATATCCTTTTACTCATGTACGAATTATTTGCTCTTCCATATTGTATTATTTTTGTTACTACTACTACTACTACTACTACTACTACCACTAGTGAACATCGAAATGGTACCTCACTAGTATTGCACCTCACTCAGAGCCTTTATATACCCTCTGTGTCCATGTATTGTTTGTAATGGCTTGATAAAGCTCCTGGAGAGCGAAACGTTGCCACAATAAATGTCACATTAGTTGCACTTGTGTCCTTTTACTTTACATCTTAGTGGCTAGTTCATTGTGCACCTCATATCCATCGTGTGGATGGTAGCGCAAGAGCATATGGATACACACAAGGCCTAGGAACTAGGCCCCAAAAGGGGACCTAGTTTCTATTAACTGTTACAAGCAAATTTAGAAAATTTAATATATCTAGTATCTTATTTTCATTAATATCTTAGCATGTCACAGGTTATATCTCAAGAATATAGAAGATTCCACAAACATTGGTAAGATTCAAGTGTCAGGAAGATACATGACCGTGATCACCGTCAAACAAACTAACACAGGAAAGAACAGCCAAACTAAACTTATTTGTAAATCTTTGTGGAGATGGGTATTCGCATCCGCATAACATCCGCACAATTTCTTACATCCGCATTTTACTGTAAACAGATATCCACATATGCATCGCAATCCGCAAAATAATCCATCCTCAAACACATCCGCTTATATCTAAATTTTCACATCTGATACATGTCTAATACCTGGTCGTGACCATTATCAAAGAAACGAATACGGGAAAGAGAATAGGATCACTAAAACACAGAATTAGCGAGATAAACACGTCTGTAAATGCACATTAATACAGGACTGACTGAGAAGACTTTACTACTGGACACTGTAAACACGATGCCTGATAAACGAATTGATATTAAACTAGGAGGAACTGGAAGACAACTAGCAGTGTGGGGAATAAACAGGAAGCAATAAACAAGGCACTAACAGTATTGATAAAAGAATGAACAAAGATAATCCAAAATCTAAATAAATTTAGATTTTAGTGATAAAATGCGAAGTAGAGACGAGAAGCTTAGAAATGTATATAAAGAAATACTCAACTGTGGGTGCAACTGCCACTCAACTGTGGGTGTAACTACCACTCAACTGTGGGTGTAACTGCCACTCAGCTGTGGGTGCAACTGCCACTCAGCTGTGGGTGTAACTGCCACTCAGCTGTGGGTGCAACTGCCACTCAACTGTGGGTGTAACTGTCACTCAACTGTGGGTGCAACTGCCACTCAACTGTGGGTGTAACTGCCACTCAACTGTGGGTGTAACTGCCACTCAACTGTGGGTGCAACTGCCACTCAACTGTGGGTGCAACTGCCACTCAACTGTGGATGTAACTCACTCAGCTGTGGGTGCAACTGCCACTCAACTGTGGGTGCAACTGCCACTCAACTGTGGGTGCAACTGCCACTCAACTGTGGGTGCAACTGCCACTCAACTGTGGGTGCAACTGCCACTCAACTGTGGGTGCAACTGCCACTCAACTGTGGGTGCAACTGCCACTCAACTGTGGGTGCAACTGCCACTCAACTGTGGGTGCAACTGCCACTCAACTGTGGGTGCAACTACCATTCAACTGTGGGTGTAACTACCACTCAACTGTGGGTGCAACTACCACTCAACTGTGGGTGTAACTACCACTTAACTGTGGGTGTAACTACCACTCAACTGTGGGTGCAACTACCACTCAACTGTGGGTGTAACTACCACTCAACTGTGGGTGCAACTACCACTCAACTGTGGGTGTAACTACCACTCAACTGTGGGTGCAACTACCACTCAACTGTGGGTGCAACTGCCACTCAACTGTGGGTGTAACTACCACTCAACTGTGGGTGTAACTACCACTCAACTGTGGGTGTAACTACTACCAGTCTTACATTCCCTCCTCCTCCTCCTCCTCCTACATAATTTTCACCTCTACAAACTCCTGCCCCAAACAAGCGTAAACAAAGTGGTAAAACATGCGTGGCAAGCCGGGAATCCTGGCTTACCCTGTGGCTTAAGTTTGTGTACAGTGAGATGAGCAACTGAACTGTAGAGGAGAGGGCGGTAAAGGGGAAACAGAGAAGAAAAGGGACGGTCAAGGATAGGAGGAGAACAGAGGCAGACAGGAGAAGAACGGCTAGGACGGAGATAATGGTCGTTTAGGATCAATCCTAAACGACCATAGGGAGGGATGAATGGTGGTAGAGGGAAGTTAAGGGAGAGGAGAGGGAACAGGGAGAGGAGGAGGAGCAGGGAGAGGAGAGGGAGCAGGGAGAGGAGAGGGGGGGCATGAGAATGTATGTTGTATTAATAAATTATTTTTTGTATGAGCGGTATTTATATAGCGTAGTGAGGTGCGTGTGAGGTCAAGGTTGATTCAGACCTCGCAAAGGGACGATCATCGCCCCCCCTCCTCCTACGCTGCCACGCCCCCTTCTACTCTGACACGCCCCCTTTCTACAATCCAGTGCAAGAAACAGTTGATATAGTCGGTGTGGTAATAGCAATGAAGGTGTTACCTGTGAGCGAGCCAGTGTTTTGATGACCTGGGAGTGAGAGGGGAGGTGGTGGGTGACAGTACGGGTGTTGAGGGCCCGTGTTAGGGACCCTCGCCACTCCTGGAGCTCAGGGCCCAGGGGCCGAGTGGCTCTCATTCTCTGCTGCTGTTGCTGCATCTCTATGGCCCACACGGAGGGGGTCGAACCCGGGGCTCCTGTGTGGTGGTGGTGGTGACTCCTCTTGTCTGCTGGCCGCGACCTACGACGTTCTGCTGGTGACGGGGGTCGTCTGCGGGATCGTTGCTGCCCCCTGGGGTTCCTGCTGGAGGTTCTGCGGATGCCTCTGCACCTTCGATCACTGCTGGGGTGGCTTTCACTGCGGACACTGTCACCTGAACGTGAGTGGCATGATAGCCGCACCTCCTGCAAGGCTTCCTGACGTAGGTCACAGGTGACGTGTGCTGGGTGGGGTCGTGTCGTAGGGAGAGCACACACTGGGTACAACCCATCCAACCTTTCCTCCTCGATGTACCCCAACGATGGTGTACCCTGGGGTGTTTCAGCAGGGTACTGGGGCACACCCCGGGGCATAATCGGACGCTTGTGTACCTGCGTCTGGGTGACGTGTGAGGCACATCTGCCACACGTCTAGACGTGTGACGCCGCTCTGCCACACGTCTGGGTGATGTGGGACACACGTCAGGCACTCCCACAGTATGTGGGTTGGGAGGCAGGTAAGTATGTAGAGGCACTGCGTTATTAACACCTTGCATGGTGTGTGTGTGAGAGAGATTACTAGTGCCCTGGGTAGTGACCCTCACCCGGGAGAGGGGGGGCAGTGCCCCCACACCACCACCCCTACACCAACTCTGCTGGGAGTGGGTGCAGCAGAGGGCCCTTATAACCCCCACCATCACTACCCCCAACATTCCCCACCATAACTACCTTCAACACTCCCCACCATCAGTGTTGATGTGATCACTCCCACACCATGGTATCTTCTACATGGTAATTCTTTTGCAATTCCACTGTTGAAAAATGTTCCATGTGACCTACATCCACTAGTGGTCCACGCTTACCTGTGACGCCACCTGCAGCTGCTGCACCTCACCTTTATTCTTAGTATACAAGGTCAAGCAATTTGCCTATACTTCAGGCTTGAGGGACTGACCATCTCCAACCAAATGATGGACTGATCACGTCAAAACACACTAAACAACACAGTTTCAAGAGTAGGTATGTGACCCCTGGAGGCCAGGAATCTATAAAAGCAAGCAAATACGAGTTAAAGCAGTGATTACTAGATTCCTAAACACATGAGTACATACACTGGAGTACAACTAGTAGAGTACCCCCAACCTCACGTGGAGGGGTGAGAGGGGGGGGGGCAAACACACCCACTGACATCTGACACTCCTGCCCCTCTTTGAATCCCGTGGAGGCCCTGACAACACCCCACTCCCACCTAGTACCCCCACCAGGAAACCTCCTCCACTTGCACCTGTCGTGTTTTTCCTGTCGTATCCCAGCACAACAGTCTTTTGTTCTACCCTGCAACTCACAATTGACCTGGGGTTCGATTACAGGACGACTGGAGCAAAACTTCTCCAGGCTGAGGGATTGACCACCTCCAAACAACGTCTTCAAGGGTGACGGACTGATGACATTGTCTTCAAATCACTGCTAACTCTTCTGTGCTTCATCCTTTGGATGATAGTGGCTAGTTTGTGTACCCCATACCCATCCTGTGGAGGGTTGGCACAAGAACATATTGATGCGCAGAAGGCCTAGAAATTAGGCCTTGAATTTATATCTACGAAAAGCCAAAACAACGAAGAAATTCGTTGGGGTTATCAACCCAAGGAAGATCAGTTCGAACTGGATAAATTGGCACCCAGGACCCGCCTAGGCAAGACGTAACTAGTTGATGTATGACACACTTAGGCAACACTTGGGTACCTTTATGCGGACACGTTTCGCTCACCAGTGGCTTGGGTGCACAATAAACTAGCCACTACCATCCATAGGATGGATACGAGGTGCACAATAAACTAGCCACTACCATCCACAGCATGGATACGAGGTGCACAATAAACTAGCCACTACCATCCACAGCATGGATACGAGGTGCACAATAAACTAGCCACTACCATCCACAGGATGGACACGAGGTGCACAATAAACTAGCCACTACCATCCACAGGATGGATACGAGGTACACAAACTAGCCACTACCATCCACAGGATGGATACGAGGTACACAATAAACTAGCCACTACCATCCACATGGACACGAGGTGCACAAACTAGCCACTACCATCCACAGGATGGATACGAGGTACACAATAAACTAGCCACTACCATCCACAGGATGGATACGAGGTACACAAACTAGCCACTACCATCCACAGGATGGATACGAGGTACACAATAAACTAGCCACTACCATCCACAGCATGGATACGAGGTACACAAACTAGCCACTACCATCCACAGATGGATACGAGGTGCACAAACTAGCCACTACCATCCACAGGATGGACACGAGGTGCACAATAAACTAGCCATTACCAGCCACATGATGGACACGAGGTGCACAATAAACTAGCCACTACCATCCACAGGATGGATCACGAGGTGCACAATAAACTAGCCACTACCATCCACAGGATGGACACGAGGTGCACAATAAACTAGCCACTACCATCCACAGATGGATACGAGGTGCACAATAAACTAGCCACTACCATCCACAGGATGGACACGAGGTGCACAAAAACTATCCACTACCATCCACAGGATGGACACGAGGTGCACAATCTAGCCACTACCATCCACAGGATGGACACGAGGTACACAATAAACTAGCCACACTACCATCCACAGCATGGAACGAGGTACACAAAACTAGCCACTACCATCCACAGGATGGACACGAGGTGCACAATAAACTAGCCACTACCATCCACAGGATGGACACGAGTGCACAATAAACTAGCCACTACCATCCACAGGATGGACACGAGGTGACACAATAAACTAGCCACTACCATCCATGGATGGACAGAGGTGCACAGTAAGCTAGCACTACCATCCACAGGATGACACGAGGTACACAATAAACTAGCCATAATCCACTCGGAATGACTAGGTGCTTCAATAAACAGCCACTACCATCCAACAGGATGACACGAGTGCTGCACAATAAACAGCCACATACCATCGACAGGATGGGACCGAGTGTGCACAATAAATAGCCACTACATCCACAGCATCGGATACAGGTGCACAATAAGCTAGCAATACCATCAAGGATGGACACGAGGTGCACAATTTAAACTAGCCACTACCATCACGGATGGCCACGAGGTGCACAATAAACTGGGCCACTACATCCAAGCATTGGATACGGGTGCAACAATAAGCTAGCCACTACCATCCACAGGCATGGACACTAGGTGCACAATAAATCCACTACCACCTACTGGTGGCCAGAATTATCTTCAGTACTAAGAGAAGGGATTAGTGATTACCTCATCTTCTGTACACATAGTTCCAATCTTCACATTGGTCACTTTGCACTGATCAAGCACACTGGATGGCGAAACGTCTACAAACAGGAGACTTACAGAGTACAGCTTAGCCAGAGTATACAATGACATACCTATTATGACGCTGAGTTTCTGTTACTCCTGTTTACACACGATTAATGCATTAAGGCTAATTATCACAGCAGTCCTTTCATAAATCACATAATTAAACGCTAATAACGCCATGCAAGAGAGGGGGGGAGGGGTTAAATAACATTTTCAGGCCCCCGTACGTTCAGCCGCAGCAGATCTGTTTATCAAGTGATATTACACACTGGATCAGCATGTTGTGTCACGTGGCCTGCAACTATCACGTCTATCCATCCCCTACTACAAATCTCACACAAAGTCAACACTCAGCCACCACTTCTCAACACACATGCTACCACTAACCACTCCCAACACTACACCCAGTAGTATCGTTACAAGTGGCTGTATACAGAAATAATGTCTGTTACAAGGACACTGTCAGCACACGGAGCCACTGTTACAAGGACACTGTCAGCACACGGAGTCACTGTTACAAGGACACTGTCAGCACACGGAGGCACTGTTACAAGGACACTGTCAGCACACGGAGTCACTGTTACAAGGAACACTGTCAGCACACGGAGTCACTGTTACAAGGACACTGTCAGCACACGGAGTCACTGTTACAAGGACACTGTCAGCACACGGAGTCACTGTTACAAGGACACTGTCAGCACACGGAGTCACTGTTACAAGGACACTGTCAGCACACGGAGTCACTGTTACAAGGACACTGTCAGCACACGGAGTCACTGTTACAAGGACACTGTCAGCACACGGAGTCACTGTTACAAGGACACTGTCAGCACACACTAGAGCCGTGCTACACAACACTCCCCAGGCAGAAGTTAGGAAGCCGTACACTGTACACCACTTGCTGATATAATATATATATATATATAATATATATATATATATATATATATATAATATATATATATATATATATATATATATATATATATATATATATATGCGCAGAACAACCACTGTGTACAAAAGATAGTTAAATTCCAAGCGATTTCGTGACTCCTCACATTATCAAGACTGAGGGACTGATTACCCCAACTCCAGGCTGAGGGACTGATTACCCCAACTCCAGGCTGAGGGACTGATTACACCAACTCCAGGCTGAGGGACTGATTACACCAACTCAGGTGAGGACTGATACACCAACTCCAGGCTGAGGACTGATACGCCAACTCCAGGCTGAGGGAATTACACCACTCAGGCTGAGACTGATTACCAATCCAGGCTGAGGGATGATTACACCAACTCCAGGCTGAGGGACTGATTACACCAACTCCAGGCTGAGGGACTGATTACACCAACTCCAGGCTGAGGGACTGATTACACCAACTCCAGCTGAGGGACTGATTCCCAACTCAGGCTGAGGGACTGATTACCCAATCCAGCTGGGACTGATTACCCCAACTCCAGGCTGAGGACTGATTACCAACTCAGCTGGGACTGATTACCCCAACTCCAGGCTGAGGGACTGATTACCCCAACTCCAGGCTGAGGGACTGATTACCCCAACTCCAGGCTGAGGGACTGATTACCCAACTCAGCTGGGAGATTAACCAACTCCAGGCTGAGGGACTGATTACACCAACTCAGCGAGGACTGATTACACAACTCCAGGCTGAGGGACTGATTACACCAGCTCCAGGCTGAGGGACTGATTACCCCAATCTCCTTCTGATCCTCACTATTCTTTGTATTGGACTGATAAGGCCACCATGTAGAGAAACGTTCCCACAATAAGGATAACCATAGCATTGTAGTTACAGTGCCAAGTGGACCAATGTAACAATAAGGTGAGCAGATTAATGTCATTCATTAACCCACTGATGCATTGGTACTGTGGTAGCATTGTAGTTGTAAACAGTAGACAGGTGACATCACAATATGAAGAACCACTGTGAAAAAAACAGTGAAATTCCAAGCTCTTTCCTGATTTCGCACACACCACAGATGTGCTGGTACTCCCATAGCAGTGTTGGTACTACCATAGTGTTGGTACTCCCATAGCAGTGTTGGTACTACCATAGTGTTGGTACTCCCATAGCAGTGTTGGTACTCCCATAGTGTTGGTACTCCCATAGCAGTGTTGGTACTACCATAGTGTTGGTACTCCCATAGCAGTGTTGGCACTACCATAGCAGTGTTGGTACTCCCATAGCAGTGTTGGTACTACCATAGTGTTGGTACTCCCATAGTGTTGGCACTCCCATAGCAGTG